TTTTCTCAAAAAAAGCAGCTCCTGCCTGCAACAGATAACACAAGAGGCAGGAAATTAAGAGAAATCAAATTCCAGGAGCTTCCTACTAGATCTCTGAAGCCACAGAGTGGAGGGAGCCATTACCAGAACTGAAGCCACAGAACATTTTTTTGAGTCCCTTTGAAAGAGGAGAAAAATGTGAATATGTAGGTGAAGATTTGGAATGCTGTAGACTGTACTCAATATCTTGCAACAGCTCTAAAGGTGACCTCAGGGGACTGCTTTCCCCTGGAGAGGAAGACAGGTGTGACCCTGTTCCCATTTGAGTCAGAGCACAGTTCCTTTACGACTCAGCTTGGATTTGGGCAAGGACCACCAGTAGTGTTTGTGTGCATCAAGTGTAGGCATGGGACTGTGGAAGTAGAAGGTGCCTGTGATCATCACGTCTCATGATGCTATTATGCTGAATGACTCTTCTGCCCAAGAACAGTACCTTATCTGGAATAAAACCTGCCAGAAGAAAATTAGCCCAGCAACATTTCTAACACAGTCCAAACTGGCAGAATAGGTCCATGCTGGGGTGGAGCTCTGCATCAGGTTCACAGAGTTTTTCTGTGGTTGTTCTGAGAGCCCTGAAGCCTCAGACTCCCTATCAACTAACCGCAACCTCACTGATGGTTGTGCTGGTTGCTTACCTTTCTGCCACTGTTGGCACTGGTAGGGTACCTCTCTTCCACCTGCCTACCTGTTCTCACAAAATTTTGGGGAACTTGAAAGAGACGCTTACTCCTCTGTGAAAAGTAGTTGAAATGATGCTGTGAATTCCTGAGTTTTTAGTGGTATTCAAACACTTACACAGAGAAAATAGTTGTGTAAGCATAATTTCTTGTGGCTACAAACCACTGTTTTGCTGTGGGAAAATCTCCTTACTATTTGGGCTACTCTGTTTGTGAAGAGGGAACCGTGACACTGTTCACGGTGACTCTGCCTGGCACGCACGGAACAGTTGTGTGTTGCTGGAGGGTTGCTGCTACAAAATGGAAATTGATGGGCCAACCATTCGGGGGTGATGGATCTGCTTGGAGATAGCCCCTTTCTAAAATGCAGATCCCCAAAGCTTACGGTCTGTATTGTTTTCCAGGGGAAGTGGAGTGGAAGGAGCTCCTCTCAAGCATGAGGCTTGTCTGTAGGTCTGAGTGTCCTGTGATGTGTCTGCATCCCTGGGGGAAAGCAAAAGCTGGGCAGACATCTGAGAAGCCTGATTCTTCCTGCAATACTTGCATGTGTCCAAGACAGTTACTTACTAATGTAAGAATGAAGTAATACAGCAAGATATCTGACCCGTAATCAGGCTGTATATTTTCAGCAGACTTTTTTACCCACTGGACCTAATGGGCAAGGTGACGGTTGTTCTTACTCTCTCCTGGTGAGCAGTCCAAGCTGTCACACGTGGGTGCAGCTGGGCAGCTCAGGACCTGCTCTTGGCCTCTGCATATCTCCTGGTTGTCTGTGGAGCTAGTGCTGGTGCAACCCAGGGAGGAACCTGGGCCCACAGAAATCCCCTCCAGTCTCTGGTGGAGTGATTTAAGGGAGACGAATTCCCAGCCTTCTCCCTGCATGGCCAGCTTAAGATAAGTCTGTAACCGAGAAACTAGTGATGCTGGGTTTTTCCGTATTGGTCAGAAATTAAACAAGAGCGGCAAGGGGATTTCTGGTAAAAGACCTCTGCCGTGTCGACTCAGGTTTCACTTCTTCCTTCAGAATAAATCCTGCTGAGTCTTACAGGAGGTTTTCAAGGCTGCTCTCTAGTGGCTACCACTGTCATGATGCTTTTTGGAGGAGCAGCTAGCATTTTCGTTTGTCTCAGCAACAGGAAGTTTCATGAAAATCTGAACAATCCTTCTGACTACTTCACTTACTTGCAAGGGTTTGGGGATAAATTTTTTTTCCCCTCTGTTTCTTTCCCATCCATTGAACTGTCCTGCTTCAAAGAGCTGACATGCTATGGAAAAGGGAACCTGCTTTTGGTTCAACATTACTTTCTCCTGTCATAGCTGAGGACCTCCGCACCTTATTGCCATGACCTGCTGCCGTTGTCCTCATTCTTCTCACCAGGATGAGGTGGATGGTTCACCCCGGATCACTCTCATCACACCTGGTGATGAGAAGCACAGGCGGTTCTCCCTGGAGAAGCATGGGTTGTCCACCCCCTGAGCTTTCCCACAGCTCATTGCAGTGGTCTCCTTGCTCTGTCCTGCCTTTTACCCACCTCTTTAGCTGGGGTCACTCTTCCTGAAACAGGCTCCCCTGGGTGAAATGGGCTCAGTCAGAGAGAGCAGCGTGACTTCTCTCTGACTTTCCTCCCACCCGGAGACTGAAGGACCCCATCTGAATGAGGGGTGTGTGGGACAGAGACCCCATCCTGCTGTGCCACAGGTCTCCCTCCAGGAGCACCTTCTGTGACTTGCAGGGAACAGCTGCAGGGACGAGTAGCACCGGGGCCCAAGCCAAAGCCTCTGACGCTCACAAAGCAGATAAAAAGCTCTGGAAGAAGAGAAAAAGACAGCAACACTTAACAAGATGCCTTCTGTGGATGACTAACGTGTTGTCTGTGGCACACAGTGGTGGCATCCTGTGCGTTGCATTGTCTGAGCCAGAAAAAAAATCATCTTGCAGTTTTCTAGAATCTTACATTTCCAGAACACTGAAATGTGTCCTGTAGGAGTGAACAGGGGTAATTCAGCCAGATACTACTGTAAACAATAGTGGTGGGTTAGATTTGCATTGTATTATCTGGTAACTCTTACGGGTTTTGTAAAAAGATTTTGTAGTGTTTCGGTGTAGTGGATTTCAGGAAGAGGGAGAGTGTTGAAAGCTCATGATCCTCCTGATTTACCAGATTGTTTCATAGACTTCATTCCAAACTACTTCATTCAAACCCCATTGAAAATGCTTCTCCAGCTGTTGTCTTTTGGAAACAACTTGTGAGTCCTTCCACTTAGAAGGGTTGCTCCTTTGCATGTCATTGCAGGAAAGATAGAGAAGATCAAGCCTCCTTCATCCCCCACCACAGAAGGTCCCATCTCACAGTCTGACCCACCACCCGAAGAGCCTGCAGGAGCCCAGCGACCCAAGAACCTGATGGAGACCCTCATGGAAGATTATGAAACACACAAAACTAAGAGACGAGAAAGGATGGACGACAGCAGTGTAAGTGCAGTTTTCCTTTTCACTGTTTGCTCTGTTCTAGAGGCCATGACTCACAAGAACCAACATTCAGACAACAAAAACTTTTATTTCCCAAGAATCTGCTCAGGTGACCTTGCAAGCGTGTACGGATTTTAACACATTGTAAGGGCCAGTGTTTTTGAAATGGAAGGATGAGGGCCAGTGGAAAGGAAAAGAGAGTGTCACTGCAAATATCAAAGGCAACTCATATTAAATTTCATTTTAATTAATTAAGTCAATTAACAGTAAGGGCAGTGGGTAGCTGCCCTGCAATGGGCGGACTCTGTTAATTCACACATCACCAAGACCCTCCAATGGGCTCCTTTAGTGGCTCTTTGAACTTTGTCGATCAAGCATGTATTCGTGCCTGTGTTTGTAGACCCCCAGTGTGGTCAGGATTCAGTTTAAGTGGATAACTTCCCCAGAAACCACCCCTTGCAGAACCAGCTTGGGAGGAACGTCTTAGAAATTAACTTGGATCCTTCAGTGGGCAGCATGCTCTTTCCCACTGGATTTGTTGTCTTTCTTCCACTCAAACAGAAAATCAGACAGAATTTCAGTTTGTAAAATGAATGCCTGCATTTCAGTCATTACTGTAGAAGAGTTTAACCCAATTAAGGTGTTCTTTATTGGAGGCACTAATAAGAAGAGCAATAAATTTCACAGCTGGAAGTAACACAATTCAGGTGCAAACGCTATACAACCTGTTTCCCAACAGAGCACGAGGTGTTTCTCATTCAGACTCATTATTACTGTGGGCAATGAGTGCAGAAGGTAGTGAGATACAAGTATGATATAAAACTTCTTAAATGGACACAGTGTTTGCTGAAGCAGCCACAGTCCTCCAGACATTTCCGAGAGATGTCACAACAATGACCTCAGTGCCAAGGAGCTCATGCTCCAAACAAATTGATTCCTAGTAATGTTCATTAAAGGTAGAGTTTCATTAGGTGTATGGAAGTAAGTTTGTAATGTGAATACTGCACTACTATGGCAGCTTTTAATCATTACTGGTGAATATTGCACAGTAGCATAAGATACCTAAAATCAGAAGGAATGCGATGTGAAGCAGTCGTGTTCCATTCTGCTGATCAACTAAAATGTAGTAGGAAAGATGACTCAAAATGTGAAAAGATTAATTTCCAGTGCACACCAGAAACTTTCTGGTCCCTTCTTCTACTGAAGCTGTTGAGAAGCAGGATCTTGTCCATCAGGCTCCTGCTGCCACGTAGGAAGCCAGCTAATGCACAAGAGCATGCCTTGTTCTGGCAGTGGCATCTTAGGTCCGTGACTTGGGAAGGAGCTGCTCTCTGGCTTCCCCTCCCTCCCTGAAGCACCCAGTGAAATGGGGTGGCTCCACTTGCTTTGGTGGGTGCTGTTTTCTGGCATATCCCCAGATGAGCTCTCTCCCTGAAGGGCGCTCAGAGGCTTGCAGGAGACATGTCACACCCTCACACCCTTTGCAGAAGCCAGCAGAAACTTGAAAAGAAGAGGTACATGAAAGTCTGCTATGCAAACCAGGACTGGTCCTCGTGAGTCCCTCAGCAAGAGTCTGTCAGTCTGGTGGCTTGAAAGCTCGGCATAGCAGAGAAGCTTCTCTACTAAAGAGGTGACACTCAGCTGGTACTCACCCGGCACTTTTCCTCCATTCCCCTGAAGAGCGAAGGTGACTGGCCTAGCCCGTAAAGCAGTGACTTGTGGCTGAAATCTTCTCCCACAGCTGTGGTGGCCACGTGCTGTTCGTTGTGCGTGTTGTAGCACACAAAAGACATGTAAGATGTCATTAGACCTAACTCCCTCTGCTCAACTTAACCTGAGTGCAACTCCTCAGGTGCTTGCAGAACTGCACATCTGCCCCTTAGAAAGCAGGTTGGCCATGATTGCATAGTTTCTTCTGTAGTTTGGAGAGATGTCCTGACCGGAGCGCTGGTCTGGGCAGCATCTGACCAAAGAAGTGTGCTCTGGGTGCCAGCTCGGCTGCCCGCTGCTGCTGAAGCTGCCCAGGCACCAACCGCCCAAAGATGCACTGCTGGAGCAGTGGTGCCGGTCAGACAACTTGTGGGATGGATCCTTTTCTGGGGCAAATTGTCAAGGCTGCAGTGAATTTACAGAGCCCCAGTGCACACTAAAGTCCCCGCAGTGTTGCGGTTTGTTGTCATTCTCCTCTTCTCTAAGCCCATTGCATACAGCCAAACAAGATTTACATTCTTACTGCTGCCAAAATCCTATTAGAGGGCAATGTCCTGCAGAGCCCAGGGAGGGCTTCCTCAGACCAGCAGGAGTGTTTTGTTTCTCTTCCCTGCTTTTTTTCGCTCTCCTTTTGTAAAGAATTCCCACCATTGACAGGGGGAAGATAAATCAAATAAGAAGGGCTGCACTTGTACCACTGGTAGTTTGAGCTAATATTTTACATGCCAGGCTAAGCAATAATTATTTAAACAACAAATAGCTTTGATGTGTTGGCAGGGGACATTTGACAATCTCAGGAAGATTTCTGTAACTAATGAAACAAAGGAGGATATCACTGGCCTGTTTTTAAAAATATGTGAAATGTAATGGGGGAAGGAGCATAACTGACAACCAGACAGGCAGCTGCCACTTGGAACATTAAGTCCTGAGAGCTGAATGTGGCTCAGCATTGCCCTTTGTGAGCGAGGGGACCCAGAGGCTTCCTCAGGTGCTGGGAGCAGTCAGGATGCTGCGGCACCCGAGGCTGAACCCAGCCGCGCTGCCGCTGGGGCAGAAGGCAGCAGCCACCGTCTCCTGAACGCGATGCAGAGAGGTTTGATGTCCATGGAAACTCACCCTCGTACGCACAGCACGCCAGAAGTACTGATGTATAGAGCTTCATAAGACACACCAAAAGGCAGGAGGGTGGGTTCCTGCTGCAACCCTGAAGACGTCT